TTGTTGTTGTTGTTGTTGTTGTTGTTGTTGTCATCACTGCTGGTGCTGTTTTTTATGGTGGTGGTGATGGTGTTGTTGTTGCTGTTCTTGTTGTTATTGCTGCTGCTGTTTTTGTAAATCTGTTTCCTTGAGATTTACGACAGTTCTGTCATTCTGAATATTACTATGCTACAATATTTCTGAAAAAGAACACTTACCCAGTACAATACACGTTCCATCGTTCTACTTATTTAAATAGAATCTTGCTGCACCAATCTGCCTCCTATACATTTTTAACACAACTGTTCTAGGGGCACTATGGTCGCCTTTCATTCAATAGGGTCCCTGTTCGAAACCTGACAGTGACGAAAATTTCTTCTCTAAAATGTTCTCCTTTCACCTCCTTTCCTGTTCTCTAATCTTGTTCTTAGGTAAGGTAACATCGAACGAACACCTAGCCTTCTCGGATAAGGGTGAGAAAACCGAATGCGATTGCTAGCACCATAAAAACTCTTACTAAAAACAAAAGACGGATCTTTCATTTTGAAGTCACTTTAATCATTTCGATGTCCTTGACCTCTCACCCCTGACTGGCCCACGAAACAGAAGATCATGTATCCAATGTGAACTGTATAACTTCAAGCTGTCGGTGTTTAAGAGCTATTCAAATATATGATAGCTAAAAAGGTGACCGCACATCTATAGAAATAAAAGCATTCTCTTAACTGCCAAATCAGAAGATATTTTCTTTTAAAGCTTGTAGTTGGGTTGTTTTTTGTTTTTTTGTGTTTTTTTTGGGGGGGTGGTTTTGGTTGTTTTTTGTTTTTGTTTTTTGTTGTTTTGTTGTCAACTAAATATGTCTTTTGGATTCCAAAAGTTCCGGTAGCTTACCCTTACAGTGTATGTAGGCGGACTGAGAAGCACTAAAAAGAGGCCTTTAGATGGCGTTATGAGCTGACCTTGTAACTGGTTTCTCGGAATGTTCAACAGGTCAAGAAATGAAAATAGAAAATTACCACAAAAAAACACTAAAAACACACTAAAAACAAAGAAACAAAATCAACAACAACAACCTCAACAACAACAAAAATACCCATCTATCTTATATAATGGAAGTAAGCATAAATGTTAGCCCACCGCACTTTAAAATGACTCACCACAAATCGATCTCAGCAATGATTTTAGATCAAGAAAAGTTCACCTACTTTCTTCCAATTACACGGTCAGCGTATAACACCATTGATAAATAAAGTCTTCTTTTATATTGTCGACACTATTAATTTTTTAAAATTGCTAGTGGTTCTGTTGTTGTTGGGTTGTTTTTTTTAACAAAACTGGGTAACCTTTCACGGGGTTTTGAAAACGGCTAGATCTACATTTAATTTTAAAAGAATCGCAACAAACCAAAATGAAATTTAAAAAATTAAGCACAAAGAAGGTGGAGTGAAGTTTTTATGCTAGGCGGTAACAGTGTAACTCTTTCAGATAGCCTTCTAGATCTAAATGTGAAACGAAGGGGGGGGGGGTTGTTTTATTTTGTTGTGTGGTTGGGTTGTTATTTTTGTTGTTGTTGCTGTTGGGGTTTTTTGTTGGGGGTTTTTCCCCCCCTTAGAGCTGATTTGCAACAAAGGCACAGAGATTTATAACCTCTTTGAGCTCAGGCTAAAAAACGACAACTCCTATAATTGCACTCCCGATTCTAAATACACCGGGTAGCGTCCCCTAGATCTAGTCCGGAATGCGTAATTCTCGGTATTTCTCACTAGGCATGATAGAATGCGAGAATTCAGTGGAGGTAAATTTGGTGTTCCCTCAGGTCATGTGATAGGCGTTAATCAAAACAGCACAGCAGTTGCAGTGCGGCTGAAGTGTTTGCGAGAACTACGACTACGAAGAAACAAATCTCTACTCTGCACTTCCCACAGGTAGAATTCAAGCTCAAAGAGAGTCCAAGAGATCTAGATCTAGACTCTAGATTAGTTGCTTTTGAGCTAAAGTTGTTCTGTTAATTTTACACCTGTCCTCAACATTCGTCGACAAGTTTTAAAAACCAACAAGCATCTGTGATGATGGCGCTGGCTCACTTATTTATAAAAACCAAGATCTAATCTAGATATCTAGAATCTAGATCTAGAAATCTAGATCTAGATCTGTGTGAGTGAAAAGCTTTCATCAAAAGTAGAAAATCCGCATGAGCCATCCTTTTCAGTACTTGTTGGATGGTTAAATATCCTTTACCTTTACCTACATTAATTTAATGGAGTGTCTACGTACAC